CTTGAAGCACGTCGTGTGCCGGCTGTCTCACCTCGAGGACTACCGCGCTCTGTCAGAGCGACTCCTAGCCGTGAAGCAGGCGAAAAGCGTCGCTGCATGTGACGGTGGAGCGCTTGGCGCCATTGAAAATAGAGATTGTTGCGCTCCGTGCTCAAGATCAGTTGCTGATACAGGTTCTGGGTGGCCGAGAGCCCGTGGGATCCGCTCCGGCGCCAACGCTTTCGCGTTCACCTGCGCCGGATCCCGGAACGGCTTTAGCAAGCCCACGTAAGACACCGGGTGGGTGCGCATCCGTTTTGGAAGGTTCAGCGTATACGCTAGGCTCAGCTTGGCCACAACCTTGAACGGTCCGATTTAGCGTGGACGAAGCTTCGTCCTGAAGATAGCAGAGGCTGCATATGTAAGAAGATTTTTTAGAATCTAATATAACTAGACCCCCGACATTAAAGTTTTCTACTTTGCCTCTTTCTTTTTCATCTACATATTCTTTCTGCAGGTCTTGGCTTATAGCCATCGCATCGCGAACGTGTCGTAGGACACTCAGTCTGGTAGACAAGAAGTCATCGACTTCTTTGCGGATGGTGAGGAGGCTGACGTCAGCTATCCGTTCGGCTATAATTCCCCACCAAGCCCTGAGCCATGGGATGGCGGCGTCAGCAGGATTCGAGAGTGAATCAGCCCGTTCACGTAGAACGGCGTGTAGCCGGTAGACGAATGCACTGCATTGTTCAGTACAAAATCTACGAGTGGCAACATGGTGCTCCAGCGCCTCGGCGTCTCAGCGCAGACGCTGCGAGAACGTCTTCGATGACGCGATTTACCCTTTCGGTTTGATCATCGGTCTGCGGATGATCCGCTGTCGACATATCCAACTTGGTGCCTTGCACCTTGACGATAGTCGACAATTTTTTTCGTGAAACGGGGGTCTCTATTAGAGACGATCGACTCTGGTAGTCCGTGTTGTCGGAAAACACGATCCACGAACAGCGTTGCTGTACCGACCCGTCGATGGTGTCTGTCATTGCCGCCTAATGAGCCATCTTGCTCAACCGGTCGACGAATACCACGACACCCGTGTTGCCCGCCGAATCTTTCGGCAGGCCAAACACAAAGTCCAAAATCATGGGATGCCAGCACCCAGTGGGTACCGGTAAGCTGGCCAGCGGCGCAGCCACATTTGGAGAGGGCTTCAACCGTTGATATGCCTCACACGTGCGCACATAGGTGCTCGTCCATTTGTACAGCTTGGGCCACCAATAGTGGTGACTCACCGAGTTGAACGTTTTCTCACGACCGAAATGAGCACTGAGTGGCGTGTCGTGAGCTTCATAGAGGATGCTATATTTCAAATCCTCATCATGAGGAACCACAATTCGGGGTGTATCCGTTGAATCGGTGCTATAATTGAACAAGTCGTTATTCAATGAATATCGGCGCAATAGTGCACGCAGTCTTGGTGACAGTTTCTTGTCCGAGTCTCCAAAATTCTTGCTCCCGAGAGCCCTTAGCAGCGCCACATTCATACCATCACCCGCATACGCAGTGCGGATCAAATCCGTCACAGACGACGTTTCAGTTGTAACATGAACAAGCTCTTAGTCTATTCTGCTTTTTCGGCTCATACTTCACCTCGAAGTTATATTCCGCAAAGAAGGATAGCCATCTAGTCATCCTCTGCGAGAGGGTGGGGCGATTGATTCCCAGTGCGTTGTGACACATGATCTGTATAGATCACAAACGGCTTGGAGCCGAGCATGTGGACCCTGAACTTGATAAGTGCATTTTTCATCGCAAGTAGCTCCTTGTCATGAACTGGGTAGTTCTTCTCTGCAGCTTTGAGC